AGCAAAAACTCTAAATACATATAATATATAGAAGGTTTCATATGGACATGCCCTCAGTATTACCAACTTCTTCAGTTAAACATATGAACATAGCACAGAAGAAGCCGCCTGAGACTTTATAGGTAGTCCAAAAACTATCCAATAAGAATCTCATAAAATCTGTATGTAATCTGTAAATATAAGTAGGCCTTTTTGAAAAGCACTACAGATTGTAGATCTCTGAATTCCCCTATCTGGAGTGGCAGCATGTTCACTATATTGCCAAAGTTTTGGGCCAGCCCTCCAAATCATGTGATTCAGGTGTTGCAATCACCTCCATGGCCACAGGTGTATAAAATCAAGCCCCTAGGCATGCAGACTATTTCTACAAACATTTGTGAAAGAATGGGTCGCTCTCAGGAGCTCAGTGACGCCAAGCGTGGTACTGTGATAGGTTGTCACCTGTGCAATAAGTCCATCCGTGACATTTCCTGGCTACTAAATATTCCACGGCCAACTGTTAGTGGGATTATAACAAAGTGGAAGCAGCTGGGAACAACAGCAACTCAGCCACCAAGTGGTAGGCCACGTCACATGACAGAGCGGGGTCAGCGCATGCTGAAGCGCACAGTGCGCAGAAGTCACCAACTGTCTGCAGAGTCAATAGCTAAAGATCTCCAAACTTGGTGTGGCCTTCAGATTAGCACAACAACAGTGCGTAGAGAGCTTCATAGAATGGGTTTCCATGGCCGAGCTGCTGCATCCAAGCCTTACATCACCAAGTGCAATGCAAAGCGTCGGATGGAGTGGTGTAAAGCACGCTGCCACTGGACTCTAGAGCAGTGGAGACGTGTTCTCTGGAGTGACCAATCACTGTCTGGCAAGCCGATGGACGTGTCTGGGTTTGGCAGTTGCCAGGAGAACGGTACTTGCCTGACCGAATTGTGCCAAGTGTAAAGTTTGGTGGAGGGGGGATTATGGTGTGGGGTTGCTTTTCAGGGGTTGGGCTTGGCCCCTTAGTTCCAGTGAAGGGAACTCTTAAGACTGGCCTGCACAAAGTCCTGACCTCAGCCCCATAGAACACCTTTGGGATGAATTAGAGTGGAGACTGCAAGCCAGGCCTCCTCCCCCGACATCAGTGCCTGACCTCACAAATGTGCTTCTAGAAGAATGGTCCAACCTTCCCATAGACACCCTCCTAAACCTTGTGGACGGCCTTCCCAGAAGAGTTGAAGCTGTTATAGCTGCAAAGGGCGGGGCCAACTCAATATTGAACCCTACGGACTAAGACTAGGGGGCCATTAAAGTTCATGTGCGTGGAAAGGCCGGCTGACCAATACTTTTGGCAATATAGTGTATTACAGGGGCATCTTAAAATTCAGAATTGCTATAACAGATATTGTGAAGGGTGTGTTTCTGGTGGCAAACACATGGTGACAGTTAATTTGTGAGTGCGGAGTTCACCGAGTGGCCATCACTCTTAGCTGGCTATCACTTAATTTGTGGTCCTGTGGGCTGGAAATTCTCTGTGCAGGATGAGCAGGATGAGACTGAGAGAACCATCGTCACATACTGGTAACAGAGGCAGGTTAATGACACCACTGTGGACACATATTCTCAGCAGGGGTTGGGATTGGACACTGCCGCTTGTCATACACAGTACAACCCTGTCTAGCAGGGGAGGAATCTTGCATTTTCACTTTCACTTACAGGTTCCCACTCCACCTGTCCTTTCAGAATGCTCTTTGAAACGAGGCATAACTGAATGGCTCCTTGTGCTGCCCCCCCCCCCCCCCCCACACACACACACACACACACACACACACAGTCTGAGCTCTACTGTACAGGAACTGTACAAGGCTCATACCAAGTCAAACTCAGGTACTGCTTGTAGTTTAAAAAGATAAAATTCATGTAATAATGTATTATTGATTACAGAGCTGTATGTCTACTTTTTATATTTCTGCCCAAACTTCCACTTTAAGAATGATGAATGTGGCCCTTAATGAGTTAATATTCTCTTTTTAGCTTTATCTATATTTTTTGTAACTCTAAAGCAAAACTGAATACTAAACCAGTTTATTAATCGAAAACATTAAATCTGATTGAGTTAAATATCTCTGGCACTGGTTAGAATTTTGGAAATGGAATGAAAGCCATCGGAAAGAATAATATTTTGGGGAACCTCCATATCTCGCTCTCTATTTTTAGAGGAGATGTCCCCTTTGGCCAGTTATCTGATATGTCATTCACGTGTAGCTCTGTCTTGTTGGCTTCTGCTGAGACCCTCCTGGAGGTCCCAGCCCTGGACAGATGAGTTACTCTGCCTATGATTCAGAGATCATATTTTATCTCCTTCTGTCTGTTCTGAAATAAAACCGGCTGCTTGACCAGATGTACAATATCAGCATGATGAATCTTTTCAGGCATATTGCACAACTTCTTGAGAAATTTCAGAGAGTAAGCAGCAAACTTTGGTCCGTGCTTACTCGGAGAGCTTGGTAATTCAGTAAGGTAACTGGCCCAGTGGTGAGCCAACAAAGGTAGCCAGTTTTTGTGCCTACCAACTATTGGCTAAGTAAAAACACATTCTTTGTGTGTCAGTGGACAGATGGATATACGTAAGGTATGTTCAGGTCTGTGTAAGGGGGTGGGAGGAGGGGCTAGCACCAATTCACACATATCTAGAATAAACTGATTCCTAAGTCCCAGAGGGCTCCTACTGGAGCTGCACAGTTTCCATAAATGGGGAAACCCAAGGCCATTCTCTACTTGATATCTAAAGTTGATGGTGTGCAGCATTAAAATTAGGCATGGAGTTCTCATGTACAAAAGCCACTTTAGCATGGAATCGAGGGGAGAATGAAGACCAGGAGCGTCACACCAAGAGGTTAGAGTCCAAAGGTTATCTTACTTAAAACGTATGTTGGGTCGGTGCAGAGTGGTGTGGCTGGCAGTAAGCACACAGAGTCCCAAAAAACTATGTATTGTACATATAGCTCAACAGTACAAACTAGCCCAGTGGGAAGGCTCATCTGACCAGGAACATTTGCAACAGTGGAGCGTAGAGGCAGCGGTATGTAGACACAGAGTTGCCTACAGCATCTGTCATGAGAAGAAGAGTGCAGCCTGGCTGGTTCAACCCAAACGTGAACCTCCCTGAGAAGATAGACGTAGTCCAAGCTCTATCCTGACTCCACCGGAACCTCTCCCTACCGCTAGTGCTGTCGTTGACAGATGGTCAACCTGTCCCTCCACTAGCCACTCCTATAAAGCGTGCCAAAACCCAGGCTCAAAAGTGTTAAATAGGCTCTGCTTGACCCAAGATGGCCCATAACATGGCTCGAGATCATCCAACCAAATCACACATGTGATTTGACCAAGGAAATTCTAGAGAAACCCAGTTTCTCGCAGCCTCCTCTCTCATCTGCATTGCCACTGTGGTTGAGCGCCACCTGCAGTGGAGAATATAGAATGCACCTGCCTAAACATATAAGCCGGTTATGTAAATACAGCCAATGTGTTGGGGGTCCAAAACTCACCCCTTCATGCAAGTGGAATGGCAAAGAAATGCACAAATGGTAAGTTTGCCCCTGCACTGGCCTGAAAGTCAACACACTGACATGGGTAAAATAAAATCTACTGATACAAGGCACCATTTCCAAAACCAGACTTTTTGACACAGCCTCGCTGCAGCCCATACTACAATTTCCCATCATTGGTGACCCCATCCTTAGCTGCTTGGGCAGCCATCAGGAATTAAATCATTTTGATGAAGTGTTTGAGAGTTGGTGCCAAAGACCGAGAAGATTCATTTCTCCACACTTGTTCCTGCAGGTCTATTTTGCAAACCATCAACACATTTAAGGCTTTAGTTACCTTTTAATTCCTATTATCTCTACGGGTCAGTTATGCCTTCCTGAAACTCTTTCTTCATCTGACTGGTCTAAAACAATCTCCTATGACCACACAGCGTTTTGGAGATAAAGTCCCTACTGTCTAAGTTAACCTGTGTGATCTATACGCAATATTCAGCTGGTTCATGAGATATTCATGGGTCTATTACCATTATGCTAGAATATTTCCTGTCAACCCCTCCTCAGTACCCCCCACCCAATTCCCAATACTCTCCTATACTGAAATTCCCTAACTGGATACCTCTACCCTTCAAATATCCACCATGGTTGTCAAAGGATCATATATGTTCTATTTTTATATTGTGAATCTCAAACTGCCAACTAATGTATGTATAGTCAATCTCCGTGTACCTGTTTTTTTTTGTTGTAACTCGTGTACACCTCCTTTTCCAACCTAACAAACAAATATTTAAATAAATAAATGCTACTTGTTTTCCAGTGCAGGACAATATCTCTGTTTTCCAGACATACTACAATGTTAATGAGCACACTTTTCCACAGTAGTCTTCATTGTTCCTCAGAATTAGTGCAAAGAAAAAGTGAGTGGCCAGATCCTCCTGCAATTTCCCCAACTCTGTTTTGGATCATCTGAGGTGCTGGAAGGAGTTGAGCTACCTCAGCCCAAACTAATTCACATTTACCATTTCATCCAAAACTAATGTTGGGAATGGTTGGGTGCTGGTCTGTTGGATCACCCATTGGCTCCTTTTGGCCCACCATCTCCTTTTCAGATCTATTTCCCAAATACCATGTTGCAATGGCCATGGCAGAGGGACCGAACTGGGACCTTACGTAAAGAAATCTAACTTCTGGCATTCATGGGAATGCAATACAATATCAGTTCTGGATGAGCCAATCACTGCACCGATGTATGAGGTTGAGTAGAGGCTCCTCTTCATGTGGCCATGAAAGAAAATCTTTCCAAGAACAAGAACAGGCTTGCTTTCTCATGAAGCTTTAATGGATATCAGGTGTGGTGGAAAATTTACATAGGCCAGCAAGGTAGGACAATGAACAATAGTGGAGACTGCACGTGCTACATGAGTGCTACGTGAGTGCCACGCTCTGTTGGAAGTCGCATACTGGCACTGCACTGGTACATCAGATGGGGTCAGGGGCGGACTGACCATTTGGAAACTCAGGCACTGCCCGAGGGCCCGGTGTCAGTAGGGGGCCCCATGAGATGCCCCTGGTACCTTTTTCATAGGCTTTTTAGAGTTTGGGCAAGGACACAGGGGCCCCATGATCCCCTATTTCCCAGGGGCCCCATGAGTTGTCAGTCTGCCCCTGGATGGGGTCATCTTGAAGATTACCTTAGAGATGGACTGCTTGTACAGGCTTTTTGGTGGTGAATCTGTGACCCACCAATAAGAAAAACTTAAGTGACAGGACTCTACCATAGTGGTGCAAGACCTCCCCCAACAGAAACAAATGAAGAGAGATAAAATCACCATCATCTCTAATCACTCTAAAGTTTAGTTTGTAGAGCAGTCTTGTGTACTGTACTCCACCATCATAAGAATTATCAACCTTATGGCCCCATAGAAGTCTAAAGGGTTCTACTACGAAGAACCTGGACCAAGCATCTAGTGACTGATCTCCTCCAACATCCAGGAATCCCCACATACTTGGTGGCAAGGGCGGACTGACCATTTGGCAGTGCCCGAGTTTCCAAATGGTCAGTCCGCCCTTGCCACCAACCCCCTCTGCCCAATGCCTGCTGCACATATAGTTACGGCTGAGAATTCATTGTAGACTGATACCCCCCCCTTCCATTCACTTTGATATTTGCATAACTCCTCCCAAGAGCCAGCCCACTGTTTGCATCAGGACCAGGGGCGGACTGACTATTTGGAAACTCGGGCACTGCCCAAGGCCCGGGGTCAGTAGGGGATCCCATGAGATGCCCCTGGTTCCTTTTTCATAGGCTTTTTTGAGTTTGGGCAAGGATACAGGGGCCCCATGATTCCCTATTGCCCAGGGGTCCCATGAGTTGTCAGTCCACCCCTGATCAGGACGGAGGGCTCCTGCGAGGAATACTGGGGCAGGGTGCTGTGAAGTTTTCAGGAAGCCATGTACAGCACCCAGCCAGCCCCTCCAAACAGCAATGATCTGCCTGCATTTCATAGAGAAGCGCAGAGACCCAGCAATGACATCACTGGGTCTAAAAATAAGATATGTAATGAAAATGTAAATGTTTTACTTAGCAAAAATTAATTAGCATGCAGGGGCGGACTGACAACTCATGGGGCCCCCGGGCAATAGGGGATCATGGGGCCCCTGTGTCCTTGCCCAAACTCAAAAAAGCCTATGAAAAAAGATACCAGGGGCATCTCATGGAGCCCCCTACTGACCCCGGGCCCTCGGGCAGTGCCCGAGTTTCCAAATGGTCAGTCCGCCCCTGTTAGCATGTTGATGAGGGGGGAAAGAAGGATGCAAGGAAGGCAAAATATAATCAGATAAAACTTCAAAACTTGAAAAAAAAAAATCTGAATGTTTGGAATGCTCTTCATTTTCTGACAGTCATTAAGAAAAAAAATATGGCTGTTTATACTTGTTTGGGATGCTTTATGACAGGGTGGACCCTAGCAGGTGCGCAGGATGTCTCATTATATGGCGCTCCAGCCATCACGGTATCTGGAGGATTGTTATTTGTGTTTGGGTTGCTGAGGAATTGAAGATAACTGTGTCATCTATCACCAGGATCGGGTTCTTAGGCTTCATAGCCGGTCACTCTCTCCAATTCCGGGGTACACCTTAGTCCGCTTCTAGGTCAACAACTGGGATCCCCCCTTCCAGCATGACCTAAACTCTCAATCCTCTGGGGGGGGGGGGGGGGGTTTGATGCAATATGGAAAGCAAATCATTTGATCATTCCCACTTTACTATGCCGAGCGAAGGACGGCTGTTTATTTTCATTTATTAAATTAGCGGAGGGCCACTTGGGGCTATAAAGTTGAAACTCTACGCTATGAGAGCCAAGACTCTGTCCAGACGTATTCGCAGGACACGAAGATGATCCGGGGTTAATGACCCTTCATTATTAATTTCTTTCTTTAAAAAAGACCAGATCAGCTTGCAAAGAAAGATATCCAAAAAACGCATCCACTTCCCGCATTGAGTCAGCCGTCTATTACCCATTCCAGGCTCAACACAGGAAATTGTAATATATATATCAAATTGTAATATATATATATCATAAAGCACCGGCATGTGCATATGTTGCCTAAACATGTGAGGTGAGTGATTTACCCAGATGTATCACTGAATAAAAAATAAAAAGAACAAAAACACAATGATACTGTGGGGTCTATTTAATTTTTAAAAATGCGTACCTATTGGTCCAGTGCATCTGCATGTACATAGTTACATAGTTAGTCTGGCTGAAAAAAGACAAAAGTCCATCCAGTTCAACCATAGAAAAAAAAAAGTTATAATCCTACACCCACAGTTGATCCAGAGGAAGGCAAAAAAAAAAACCATGATCCAATTTGCTCCTGCAGGGAAAAAATTCCTTCCTGATCCCCGAGAGGCAATCAGATATTCCCTGGATCAACTTTACCTATAAATGTTATATCCAGTTATATTCTGTGTATCCAAGAAAGAATCCAGGCCTGTAAATTAATTCTCTGCAAATTGGGCAAAAAGGAATGTTCTTTTAATATGGGCAGTAATAAAATAGCACATTATGGTGACTAGATGGAGCTGAGGAGCATAAGAAATACATTCATATTTGTAACAAGAGATACAATGTAACAATTCTAGAGAATGCTAAAGGGAATTAGCAACTTAATTTAACAATTGGTTACATTCCTCTCTAGATTTCTCTAGAATTGTTACTATTTTGTTTCGAATGCTACTTTATAGATTGACATATCTCCTTATGCAGGCCATAGATGGGTCGAAAATCGGCCGATTTGTCAGCCAAAAAAAAAAGCGGCCGATTTTCGCACTGCTAGTGGGTTAATTGGTTGTCTGTTTTTTGGGATTTTGGCACATTTTTTTTTTATCTGTAGAAGTTGGAAAGAAATAGGCCGATTTTGCCGATCGGCCGATTTCTCAGCAATGGTGGGCAAATCGGCCGATCTTTTTACCGATAAAAAATCTGCACATGAGCCTTGACCTGCAAGAAGAAGAAAAAGAAGAAGAAGAAGAAAAAGAAGAAGTAGAGGAAGAAGAAAAGAAAAAAGAAGAGGAAAAAGAAGCAGAAGAAAAAGAAGAAAAAAAGAAGAGGAAGAAGAAGAAGAAAAGCAGAAGAAAAAGAAGAAGAAGAAAAAGAAGAAAAAAGAAGAAGAAAAGAGAAGAAGAAGAAGAAGCAGAAGAAGAAGAAAAAGCAGAAGAAAAAGAAAAAAAGAAGAAGAAAAAGAAGAGGAAAAAGAAGAGGAAAAAGAAGAATAATAGAATTCCAGTCCGCTATTATATTTGACATGAAAAAGTATTGTGGTTGCAACAATGTATCAATTTGTATCCGAATAAAAACATCTGTATCCGAAATGGATACAAATAGATACAATGTTGCAACCGCAATACTTTTTCATGTCAAATATAATAGCGGAGCTCTCTGCAAAGGACAGAAGTAATTAAATGCCGGCCATAGCCGGCACGAAAATTGGCCGATTTTTTTTACCGTTGGTGGTAACATCGGCCTATTGAACAACCAATTTTTCATATTTTTTTTTTGAAAAAACGGCCCCGTTTATGGCCTGCATTAGACCCAGACTGTCCAAACCACAGGAGTCAAACACAAGGCAAATCCAGCCCTCCAGGCCATTTCATGTGGCCCTCAGACCTCTCCTCAGACCTCAGACCTCTCCTCAGACCTCTCAAAGAGAGGAGGACAGAGCTCCTCTGCCAGATTCTGCTCTTCTCCATGCAGCTACAGAGGCTCATTTCTGCAACCCGGAAACATAAAATGCAGCGCTAAATATTTAAAATGATGAGAAGTGACAAGTGCATAAAAAGACGCAAAATAATGCGCTAGGGAAGTGTAACATAAGTGTCGTCAATGAGTGACGAGAAAGACGTGAATGGATAATCAATAAAGTGTATCAAGTGGCAAATATATACATTAATGAAATGTATAAAATAGCAATCAGTTAATGACAATAGGAAATATATTGCAATAAATTAGATGACAATTGGAGATATCTTAAGATATAAGCAGTCCAATAAAAATTATGCATCAAATTTCCGTGCTCGTGACTTCTTATGATAAAGGGTTGAAGTATACTAGCACTCACCAGAAGCGCAATATTAATGCTCATGTAATAATATCCGGGAAAACACTGGTGGTCATCAGGGTTCTGGTCAGGGACAGGGGGCTCCACTGGTACACACACAGCACACAAGAAAGGCATCCAGACCTCACAAACCGGACCCTCACAACATACACCTTGGTTGGTGCTCTGCCATATTTAAATAAGTAGAAAGATATCCCATTCCTTTAACTGCTCGCACCCAGACTCTGAGCAGCATGGGAACCTCATATGGAAGCAGCCATGTTAATGACCTCAGCCACCGGGATGCCGACGTACAGTATGTGACCTTCCAAGCCCAGGAAGTTACTTCAAGACAGGGGTGGACTGACCATTTGGAAACTTGGGCTCTGCCCAAGGGCCCGGGGTCAGTAGGGGGCCCATGAGATGCCCCTGGTACCTTTTTCATAGGCTTTTTAGAGTTTGGGCAAGGACACAGGGGCCCCATGATCCCCTATTGCCCAGGGGCCCCATGAGTTGTCAGTCCACCCCTGCTTCAAGACTGTTGTAAAACTGTTTTTAAAACCCACGTCTTCCCTGATAATCAGCACATGAGGCGTTAAAACTATGTGTTTAATACGACATGTGCTAGGGACGGAGGCTCATTTCTGCAACCCCCCATCCTTGGTCTCAGCAATTGACAGCAGAGAGGAGGACAGAATTCTTCCTACAGATCCTGCATGTCTCTGTGCAGCCGCAGCACCCCCTTGTCTCCACCTCCCTTGCAGACTTCAGCAGCTGACTCCAGCCCTCCTTTGGTCCTCCTCCAGACCCTACACTTTCTGCTTCCTAGCTCCACCTCCAGCTTCTTCCTGGAAACAACACAAGGAATGGGGGGTGCACTGTGATGCAATGGGGGGTGGGGTGCTCTGGATATCTAATCTTACAGATACAATCGTCCCTTTGAGGGCAACCATAATGCTGCTGCGGCCCACCATGTAATTGAGTTTGACACCCCTGGTCCAGAGAATATGGTCATCTGCTGACTTGGCACTATCCACAGGCAGCTTAACTGTTCAAAAAACACAGAAGTTGAAAACAATGCAATTTTACTTTGGCTAATTGCAGTACAGAGGATGTTTTTTCCATTTTTTTTTTAAGTGTAAGAAGACAATGAAGGAGATTTACTATAACTGGAGCATACAAAATCTGGTGCAGCTCTTCATAGAAACCAATCAGCTTCCAGGTTTATTGTCAAAGCTTAACTGAACAAGATGAAGTTAGAAACTGATTGTCTACCATGCACAACTGCACCAGGCCAGATTGCTCCAGTTTTAGTAAATCTCCCCTAATGACTTCCTGAGCTCTGTGTCTATGAATACCTAAAACTGACTGAGATATTCACTTGGTAAAATGTATAAAAGTTGACACCGAAGACTAGGTAGCAGCTTTACCGAAATTTGATGATGAATAGTCCAGGAGGCATCAACAGTCCTAGTAGAATGGGTGGAACCTCACTTTTGAAGGCATATGTTTGAGAAATACATTGGCAAATCCATTGAGAAATGGTAGATTTAGAAGATGTGTGACCCTTTCTTGGGCCTTCAGAAAGCACAAAGAATCCAACTGTCAAATAGCAGCATTCCACTTTAGATGACACCTGATAGCCTGAACCACATTCAAGGTGTGATGAGCCCTGTCCTCCATTGTCTGAGGGTTGGGACAAAAAGACAGTAACACAGTGTCCCTGTGTAGAATGGAATGAGGAAACCACCTTAGGCAAAAGGACAACTGAGGACTTAAAATCACCTTGTCAGTGTCGAGAATAGAAAGGGCTCTTTATAGGAAAGACCAACCAAGTCCAAAACCGCATGCAAGAAAAATAATCTTCCAAGTCAGAAAGACAAAAGGAATATGATGGATGTGTTTCAAAGGAGATTTCTACAATACAGAAAGCACCAAGATTAGGTCCCAAGGTGTCAACAAAGTCTTAACTGGTCCAACAATGTACATAACACCTTGTATAAAAGCCCACACCATAGAGTGTGGTTCTTCTGAATCCTTTTGTAAATTTTGCTGTATATGCCTTCCTAGCTTTAAGCAGGGTGTGAGGACTGAATCAGAGATATAATTGTCCCTCAGGACCCTGGTTTAAAAAGCCATGACAACAAAGCCAGCAACTATAAAGAAGAATGGACCTTGTAGATCAGGTTGGTCTGGAAAAGCCTAAGGTTCATCCACTATCATGTTCAGCACGTCAGGCTCCTGGGCCAGGCCAAGGTGATCAGAATTATTGGAATCCCCACTATTCCAGTTCCAAGGTAAAAACAGCACTGGTGTAAATGCACAGAAATGTTTGAGGCTTGGGTACAAACCTGTCCAGTTTTGCATTGAACCTGGATGTCAGAAGATCCACATTCAGAGTTCCCGACCATTGGCAGAACATCTCTGGGTGAAGAGCCTACTCCCCTAGAGATAAATGTTGCCAACTGAAGAAATCCACCTGCCAATTTTTCACATCTAGAATGTAAACGGTGTACAGAATAGGAACATGGAGTTCTGCCCACGCCAGAATGAGATCCACATCCGCCTGGGTTGCCCCACTTCTGATGCCTCCTTAATGATTTATGTATGCTACAGCTCTTGTATTGTCTGACTGAACTTTCACCAGGAGACCTTCAAGCAACCTTGACCAATTCAGCAAAGCAAAATGAATTGCTCTCAGCTTCAAAATATTGATGGGCAACAACCTCTCCTGTAAAGACCAAATTCCCTGACCTGGAACTAAACAATGGTCCAGAACACCTTCCCAGCTTGTCAGGCTAGTGTCCATTGTAAGGACCTTCCAGGATAAAGAAAAAATGATCTTCCCATTTCTAGATTATGAAAGTAGATCCATCATTCTAGAGATAGTGCTCTGTTGAAATCTAATGTCATTGGGGAATCCATTGACCTGGAGTTCTCCTTTCCTACACTGCCAAGACATTCAGTTGCGGTGGTCTGGAGTGAAACTGGGCAAACATAACTACCTCAAAGGTGGCTACCATTTTCCCCAAAACTCTCCTGCGAAAGGAAATGAAGGGATTTGTCAGTGTTTTGAGCAAGTTCACCTGAGTTTTCAGAGTAAGGCATTTGTCCAGAAAGAGGACTGCTTTCAACTGGACTGTGTCCAGATATTCCAACCTCTGAGCTGAAATTAGGGCAGACTTCTGCAGATTCAGGACCTATCCAAACCTTACCAGAGTGTGCACCATGAGACACATTCATCTCTAAAAGTGAAGCCAACTGCTCCCTCAGAAATAATTTGTCAAGGTACCCTATGACAGGGATAATCTGGGAGCATAAAAGCCCCAAGACCATAGCCAGGATCTTAGGTGGACACTCTGGGAGCTGTAGACAGGCCAAATGGCAGAGCCACAAATCTCTTCTGAGGACATAAAATCGGAACATGTAGGTAAGTATTCACTGCTAGAAAATCTATTTGCTGGAGATATTCTACTACCTACGGCACAGATTTAATTTGGAACTTCTATACCCTTAAAAACATATTGAGTTTATTGAGATCCAAGATGGGGCAAACACTGCCGTTTGGTTTTGGGACCATGAAGAGGTAGAAACCCTGAAATCTTTCATCCTCCAGAGCTGGAACAATCACATCTTGAGACAGATAAAAGGAAGCCTGCATTTATTTTGTGAATCTGAAGAAACATTTGACAGCATGAAGCACAGAGGGGGGAAGCTCCAAAATTCCAACTTGTAACTGGGAGTCACAAAGTTGCAGACCCATTCATCTGCAATTTCCCCCTGCCAAACTTCCAGGGAAGGCCTACAAACATCCCCACCAGAGAAAATAGGGGCACCCCTTCATTCTGAAAAGGACTTGTCCCTTGGCTTAAAAGGCTTTGGAGTCAATGGTTTCTTATAGAGCTGGACTTGGGGATTGGGCTTGGAGCCCGAGGCCTGAGATTGGTGAATTATATGTTTTGTATTCTTTATAAGCGATAACCAAAAATTCTTATCACAGTCACCTTCTGGATGTGGGAAGTGGTGATTACAAATTACTTAGAACAACTTCTGTTAGAAAATTCACAAAGGCCTTCTGGGTCTGAGAAAAAAAATGACCCTGGGTTTCCTCGAAGGTACATTCCTCAAATGAGGATTCTTCTGCATACTGGAATATTATTGTCAGTCTCCATCTCGTCATTCACTGGTTCCTCTTCAGTTAAAAAAGAAGGAGAGCACTTCCGTTTGCAACCAAGGTGGTCCAAACTGACAGGCATTCTGGAAAACTGCCACTGTACACCAGGAGTAGCAGATGGCCTTTACCCTGACCTGGCAACTCTTTTGCTTGCCGCCTGACCATGTTCTATGCCCGTTTGTGACTGCTATCTTACCTGCCACCTGCCCTTGACCTCTGTCCAGGTCTAACTCTTCTGCCTACCGTTTCATGTACAGTTTCCGCACCATAGCCTTTCTGTTCTAGCTACTCCCTTTGTGGGGAAATCCTGAGAGCCGTGACCTGTTGACAGCTTGCAATGAAGAAAACCAGGACTACTAGAGCTTCCATCCCATTTCTGCCATTTGGAGCTCTGCCTGGAGGGGTGGGGTAGGTCATGGTGACATTACAAGTTATCCATCCTACCCGTGCCAAACTTGGTCTATAGAAATAAGCTTTAAGTCAATGCTGGTATCGCTAGTCATAGTCCGAACTCTTGGAGACCAGCATCTTCCTTTAGGTTTTCATTACTGTCTGTGTCCCTAAACGGGAGATATACTCTCACTTTTTGTCAGGATAGGAAGTGATGGGAAGTCTCTCCAAAAAGGTTGCATATTATTAGAATCAGGAACAGGGGCGGACTGACAACTCATGGGGCCCCCAGGCAATAGGGGATCATGGGGCCCCTGTGTCCTTGCCCAAACTCAAAAAAGCCTATGAAAAAGGTACCAGGGGCATCTTATGGTGCCCCCTACTGACCCCGGGCCCTCGGGCAGTGCCCGAGTTTCCAAATGGTCAGTCCGCCCCTGGTCAGGAAGAGTAATAACTTATCATTTTTTTATTAATAGGCAAATGAATATACAAAAAGATCCTCCTGAGCTTAATGGAGTGCCTATCATTGGAAGCAGCTGGCACTCAGACTGATACCATACAGTAGAACTAAAAAACGCAAAAAAGGTAGTGCAGCGCTCAATCACAGACTTATATCAAATATAAACAAGTGAATAAATAATAAAATAATGCTTATAGGTATAACAAAGTAACACACAAATGGTCAAAAACAGCCAAGACATATTTGTACATATAAAGGTGACTAATAATATATAACAATAAACGCGCCCCACTCACTCCCACTCTGTAGGGTGACCATGTGGGTATGGACAGTTCATAAATAGTAAGTGATGGTGTTCAACACAGTAAAAATTCATGCATTGTGCATGACCACACAAAACTTCCAGTGCTGGTGAATGATTCTCCTCCTATGGCTGAATTGCCTCCTCACCTCCACTCTGCGGCCCAATGGGCCAATGCGCCTT